CTCTGAGCCAGCATAGTCAACATGATCCCACTGGGAACCCGCAAACACACTGAGAAAATTTCAGCCTTTGATGCCGACACCGGTTTAAAACCTTTCTGCAAAAACTGTCTGCGCCAAACGTCCAGCATTGGATCCTTCAAGGGCAAACTGTCAGGATTATGCCACGCACCACATTCACAAGCATCAACTTCACAGCGTGTGAGAATGGGAAAAATTCGTGCCAAGTGCTTGATTGGAGAGGCCACAAACTCATCCCAGTTTTGGGGGTATTCATCTCGGTACACCATCACCTTTATGGTCACAACCTCAAGCTGATCCATCGAAATGGCAGAGGAAACCACCTGCTTCTCCACAAAACCCTTTCCAAGCTGAACTACCACGGCCTCAGTAAGCAAAGGTTCATTGTTGGCAATGCAAACACAAGGGAGGAACATCTTCGTGCTTGGCAAGCAGGTGTCAATGACTACTCCTGGCGGCGGAAAAATTGCAATGGCAAGTGGTTCACTGGAAACAATCATCCCAGCCTTCAGATACGGAAGAGCATCTTCAACCGTGACAAGCGCAATGCCATGGGAAACCGGACCAATTTGCTTCAATGAGATCTGCGGGACAGGACGCCCCGATGCTTGAAAAGTACCATCAGGCAACGTCAGCTTGGCAGGATCGACAGTTTCAGGCACGGGAGGCTTGGCTTTCAATACCCCTTTCTTCATCCTTTTGCCAACAGGAACTCCCTTGGCATCAGATACCATAGCTGCAAGTTCATCCGGAAGGAGAAACTGAAATCTGGCCTGGTTTCCTAAAACCTTCAATGAGCGCCAAACATTTTTTGATCCCATTGCTTGCATGACTTGATCACTTCCAATAGCTTTAATCGCCTGTTGGGCTCGTTGATCACCCATTTCCTCAGGCACTCCATGCTTCACCAATTCAGCAGAAAGCGTCTTCATCAGAGATCCAGTTCCACCTGATCCCCAAGACACCGGGCAGATGCAGCACTCACCTTGATGCAATGCCTGTACAAAACTGGCTTTCATGTTCGAGTGCAGGTCTCCCAAAGCTTCCAAATCAGTCGGCAAGTCAGCACCAACCAAAATGTGTCCCAGAAAAGCAATCGCAGCAGCTCCACACAAGGAGTGGTCAGGCAACAGCCGGGGGTAGACATGAAGTACCACTTCCAAGAAGCCAAAATTCTCCTTGAAAACATCAAGCATGGGCTGCAACACACTTGGCTCAATCACACCATCATCAATTGTATGCACCACCAAGGTCTTGCCATGGGGAACACCCCAAACCGGAAACCAATGCTCATTGTGCAACAAGACAGTCACAATGTGGAACCCCCTGTCGGGGACAGTCTGATTTCTCCTACACCAGGCAGCACATAGCCCTTGTCCAATGGTGTCCCAGGCACACAGCATGAGAGGATCAATCATGACAAAACCCGGAATGGACGAAAAGGGGGCATTACAAACATTGGACTGATGGCAAATCAAATGCATCAAGTGAAACCTGATCTCATCATCACCCCATTGTTTGCCCTTGGCACGTAAGAGTTCCATACGCTGTTCCTTGTCCATGCAGACATGTGAAAAACTGGTAGTGTTTGGCACCTCAGCAGGTTGTGGCACATCAGCTGAAGACAAGCCAGGCTCATTGGCAAACCATGAATCTTCTGCATCCCCTGAACCCCAAATCCAGGGTCTCCTCGCAAGTTGGCAGCTGTCAAGGGTCCTGACATATGCATCTCTGAAGCCCTCATGAATCACCTCTGCCTCCTCCCGGTTGGTAGGGAGCATTGAGCCAAGCACTGAATGATGCAAAAAGGCCATTGCCAGTGCCCCACACTTGTCAGAAGAAAAGAACATCCGCTGTTGGCGCAAGTAATCAACTCCCACAAAACCCAACGCATTCCCAATAGCATCAACAACTTGAAGCAAGGTGTCGTGAGAGTGGGAGGGCACATCCCAAGTGGTGAAGTGCAACCTTTCTCCATTGGGTGTCAGCACAACCGGAATCCAGTGACCATCAAGCATGCACGCAGAAACAACCGTCAGTCCTTCAGCTCGAATCTCAGGATGGGCAGAGCCCCACAAGTGACAAAGTTGACCACCATGTGTCGCCCAGCCAGAAAGCAACAAAGGATCCAACATGAAACACTTCATGAAACGAAAGTCGGGGCAAGCACACGCACATTCATTGCGCAATTGCAGGAGCATGGCAATGTGAAAGCGAAATTCATCGTCAGCCCAAACACCCTTCTGTTTCTCAAGGATCGCTCTTCGATCATCAGCTTTGAGCAACTGGTGTCTCAAACCCCACAAATGCTTGGTGCTGGTGACTACCGGGACCTGGAGATTCTTAAACTGCTCTTCCTGAAGACACAGCAAAGGGGCAGCAGAAATCCACGACTCACAGTCAGCCAGGCGCTGAACTGGCATGGGTGATTCACCTGCATCACACGGACCGAACGATGCAACAGCAACCCCAGGTGTGGTTGGAGGCTCATTCCAAGACAAAGTTGGGCTAACAATGGGGTCATCCAAATCCCGCACAGGCACTTCAGTCACAGGACCAGGAATAGGTTCCGGAGCAGGAGGCTCCTCCAACTCAACAGTGCAATCACCAGCGGACATCAATGCATGGTCATCATTGCCCTCTTCACATCGTATGCAAATGACTTGGCCCAATTGCAGCACATGTGTGAAAGGAACCGTGTTGCCATGGTGGTCACAGGCATGTGTGGCATGAAGACCTCCTACAAGTTGACCATGAGCTTCCAACAGGTTCTGGATAGTACATCCCTCAGCGACACTGATCTTAATCGGATTGGCAAATTCATGAAAGAAGACTACCAAACACTCATGCTCAGAGACAGCTGGCAAATCAGGCACCTCACAATGGCAAGATTCAAACCACGGAGTTGGGCAATCCTCTCCTCCATTATCATCCAAGCAAGTCATGGGAACATCATCACACATGGCATCAAGTTTTGGCGGCACATTATTTGCAACCTGCGAACGTCGAATGATAAGGTCCAGAATCGATCCAATGTTGAGTTCATGGGGTTGCAATGCAGGCCATCGACTCGGGTGCATCAGCTCGTGCAGAGACAAATCATGAACCTCATTCCAAAAACTGACAAGTGACAGGACCATGGTGTCTGGAATCAATTCACACTCAACTGGCCAAACCTGTCGTGCACGCATCAGGACCCAAGCCAAATAAGCTTGAATTCGTGCCTCAGCATGAAACTGAATCTGGTTGGTTCGGATGGTTTGGATTCTTTCATCCAACGCAGCAAATACCCAGGCAGCCTGGGCAGGACTCGCCATCTGGCCAGCAGCAGCAAGAGTAAGTCTGGGGTTACTGCCAAAGTCAATCATCGGATCAAAGGCACACAAACCCAAAACTTCGTTAGGGTGCACATGTCGAAGCAAACTATCATGAAATTCAGTCTGACATGAGCGGACAAGGCATCCAAACAACCCCTTAGTGGCCAATCTGGTTTCCGAGAGTCCCTTGAGTCTGCACCCACATTCACATCCAACAACTTGAGATCCCCAGGAATGAAGTGCACAAGGCGCACAAGCTTCAAAATTCAGGAGAAATCTTTGGAACGTGTTGTCATGAGCCCCAAAAACATCCAACTCACGTGCATTCAAAGCAAGAGCCTTTTCATCATTAATATCCCATGGGTGGATAGCAGGAATCACATGTCGAACCTTAGAAATGGACTTCATTCGTGGCCACGAACAGAGTGGAACTTTTCCAATCATTGGTGACGACAAAATCCACCAGGCACGGGAGCGGCGACACGGCCACACATCTTGCAAATGAAGATCACACTGCGAGCAATGGAAACCTGAAAATTCTAAGAAGCGACGAATCTCTGCTTCGACAAATGCATTCCCTGAGGCTGGCTGGACGCACTCAAGAATCACTGCCTGTACACGCAAATAATAAGACATCGCAAGAATTCCAGGAAGACACTTTGCACGGGCATCTAAACCGCCCAATTGATCTCCAAGGGCGGAGAATGGCTGGCATGCATAACCGGCTGCAACTACACCTGCACCTTTTGCCACTTTCCATACCTGCAAAAGAGTGGACAGTTTACAGACATCTCCATGGATCAGCTCAGCTTGATTTTGCACGTCATACAATTTCAACATCTTGTCATTCAGATCGATGGCGGCCACAGGAGAAAAACCGGAAGTGGCCATGCCCTGGCAAATACCCCCAAAACCTGAGCACATCTCTACCACCTCGTAAAGCGATGAAATTGAAGGAGGATCATGCTTCAAGATTGCCGACCCAAAATCAGTTCGAACCATCGGGACAGGAAATTGGTGACAGAAAACCACATTCATCATCGAGAATAAATCCCCTGTTCCTTCCAGCAGTCCAGCCAGATGAAACATCGAACCATCATGAGTAGCTTTGCAAAGGTGAGCATCATGCGTAGGATCAAAAAGAACCAGCTGAGCAACCAAACTTATCCTCATACCAGCATCGCAATCACCAAACTTAATGGGGAGCCCCAAATCCATGGCACAAGTCAAACGTACCTACCCCCGTTCAGAAAAGTGCAGCTGTACCAGCTGGCAGGCGGCTTGGGCAATCACAGCTTTCCAAACCACCAACCAGTAAATACACATTTGCGAATCAGCAGCAAAATGACTGGACAAAACCTACGGTAAAACACGCCTTACATCTTCCCAAAGCCTCGCGGCTTCACAAAATGCTGGGATTTTGCAGCCACGTTTGATGAAACCAGGTCGGTTTGTTTCTCCAATGAAAACAGCCGTCAATAGCCCATTGAACTACCGTTGAAGCTCCATTTATCCATGGAATCTCCCATTAAATCACCATAAAAATCTCATCAAAACATCTTAAAACACATTAAATCACTATAAAGTCCCATTGAACCACTATAAAGTCTCATTAAAGCACCAGAAAAATCGCTGGCTTTTCGGGTCATTAAAGGTCCAAGGGGCATCGATCACCTCCTCCAGCCAGGCTTTTTCATCTTCTTCCTGGATGGTCACTGTGTTTTTTTCAATGGGTTTTTGTTTATAGTATTTCATATCAACTATATGTACATTAGAAAATGACATAATTACAAAAATGTTGTTTGGAAATATTTTGTAATTTAGTAATATAGTATCAATATATTTAGTAATCGCTGTATTTTTTAATGTGTTTTTTTCAATGGTTTTAATGTATATAGTATTCCAACTAAAATAAATATTTAGAAAATATGATTTAGTAATTAAGAAAATATATTACTAAATCAATAAACCATATATCAGCTAAATCACTAAAACAATATATAGCAGTATGTATTACTCTGATGAAATACTGTAGCTGGTTGCGAAATCCTGCACCACCACCAAAAGGATGGATGAAACCCTCTAAATAATGGAATGTTCACCACCTATCAACTCTTGCAGGATTTCTTCCATCCACCATCCATCCACCGTATGTCAAGGAAATATATGGCAACATATCTGTTTTTTTGTGGCAGAATATGATGCACTATGATACTATTACACTATCCTTTAGATGAATCATGATGAATCTGGGTAAATTATAATACTTCACGTTCACCTGAATCTGAAGGCCATAAAAGGGGATGATTCCCCGAATCCAATTCCCATGATTTCCAGTCTTCGGTCGCAAATGAAACGATCCCATGATGGGGATGATCCACGTCCCAGGCGCAGATTGGGAAAATGATCCTTACTTTTTGGCATAAGTTGCACATGTACAGTCCATTGCCATCCATGAAGCCCAGTTTTATTGTGGATATCAAATGGTACCCTCTGGTAAACTAACATAGCTATGGACAATCACCATGTTTAATGGGAAATTCCACTATTTCGACTGGGCCATTTTCAATAGCTATGTTAAATTACCAGAGGGTAATTTGAATGTTCCCTGCAGGAAGTGCTGCCCAGAAGCCGGAACTTCCACTGCATCCACAGCCTTCTGAATTTCCGCCTGGCAGGCAACATATGGAGAATGGCCCATTGATAGATGATCTACCTCTAAGAAATGGTGATGTTCCATAGCTATGTTGAATTACCAAAGGATAAAAGCCATTGCTTCCGGGCCCTAAAAAATGTATGAACAAAACCTATTGTAGATGGCTATCAAATGGTGGATCCTCCAGTGCAATGTTAGATATGTTAGGACCCTCCCTCTACACTCTAGATGGGGCCGAAAAGCCTCTCTTTTTTGCTGGGAGAAGCCCTGCAGTCGGGACATGAATAGCAACTCGTTGGTACAAGGTGGAGTCCCCCCAGTTACAAGTTGGTTGATGAAGCCCACCAATTGGAGATATATCTGCAATAAACACTAGCGAAATGAGTTACAAACCAACTTAGCTATAGAACTATGCAGGACCAGCTTGTAGAAACTTTTGAAATTTATAGAAATCCATTGAAATCCCAGTGATCAATCTGTTTAATCCATGCTTCCCATGTTTTTTTTCAGAGTGGCCCATGACTTCCCAACCTCTAACTCTTCAGGCGATAAGGCTGGATTTGCATCACCTGAACCAAATCCAAGGGGGCGGTGAGAAGGACAAACTACCAGACTTTCAGCAGCAAATTTGGATACCCTCCGGTAAAGTAACATATCTATCGAAAATCACCATTTTTAATGGGAAAATCCACTATAAATGGCCATTTTCAATAGCTATGTAATAGCTATGTTAGTTTACCAGAGGGTAGTTCACCTCAATTCAATTGACAAATTATGGGGCATCCCATTGTCCCACCAGGAATCTCATGAATGACTTTTGCCGCTGAAAGAGAGCCAGTTTGCTACTCTGAAAACCCTCTGGCAATATGAGAAACCTATGGAAATCCCATCGTTTTTCATCGGAAAAACAGGCAACAAATGCTACAATTTTTCAACGGGTGTTGCCATGGTTGGCCGTGAAATGAGCACCCCATGTGCGAAAACGACCCTTCAATTCGCAGTGCCTTATCTACCTTGTTTGCTTCACAAACCCGGCAAACTATGTCTGGCTGGTGGTATACCAACCCCTCTGAAAAATATGAAAGTCAATGGGAAGGAATATCCCATATACTATGGAAAATAAAAAATGTTCCGAACCACCAACCAGATGTTATCTGGTCAATTTCGGCGAACATATAAACCCTCCGTGATAGTTGAGGTACCATCCTCCGCTCTCATCCCTCAACATGCTGACAGTCGACAAACCAAAGGGGCACCCCGTTTGGTGAAATCACGAAATCGTCCATTTATATCCCTGATAACCGAAATGGAAACCAAGAATTGTCATGTCAAATCGGAAAGTCACCTAGATTCAGAAGTTTGGGACTCATCGTCAGATGCTAATTCAACATAACCATATGGAAAATCATATAAGCCTAAATTGTCCCATTTTCATTCTAGTTCAGTTTGGGCACAGTGTTCATAGGTAAACCATCAAACCAAAATCACCACTGTTCATCAAACAAAAATGGGGCCATGACCATGACTTCACCATTTTCCAGGAACCGCAAGCTGCTACTCAAATTGCCGGAGGGTACATTTTGATATAGATTCAGATAAAAATCATCATCCTCTTTTCTACTAGATAAAAAATCACTGACCTGAAAAGTTAGGCTATTTTGGGATAATTACTCCTTACAACTCCCATCATTCCCGGATTCGGTCGCGCCGTGAGGTCGTGATCAGATTCACCAAAATTGATCCATGAAAAGACGATTCATATCATCTATACTGATACGTTCTTTATCAATGTAAGTTAACATTCCAAAATGTATTTTAATTGTCCATGTAAAAAATTAAAGGTTATATCCCATCATATCCGATGATTGCCCAGCTACAAATCTCCATGAATAAATCACAAACCAGCACTTTATCCAGTTAAACATTGTGGTTCATCAGTGATGGTCCACAACCCAATAACCTTTTGCTTGTTTTGGTTACTACCCATCCAAGGTGGGGGATGAAAACCGTTGACGTCCCAGGTGCCATTGTCCCACTTCGAAGGTCGTTTGGCTCGCTTCACTTCAGCTGCCACCTGGAGCAATGACATGGGGTCGCGTCAAAATTCGGGTATGGATCGGCCCGCGGTGATCCAGACGTATGGAACGGTCTGGATCACCTGCGTTTTGGTATGGATCGGGGGTATGGATCGGCTTGTGGGTTCAGGGTATGGATCGGGGCTTTACATTTTGACTCGCAGCCACATAGCTATGGTAGCTATGGCCCCAATTAGTCCGATGATTTACCCATGAAAAAATTTGATTTTCCGGTTCCCCATGTTAAATTACTGGTGGGTAGCACCAACATATCGCTGTAGAGTTATCTTTGAAGACATGTGTTATCATTTGTTGGTAAAAGCACGTAATTGACCAATATTTGCTTGGTAGAAGTCTTTGGTGCTGGATTTGGTGCACTCAACAGCTGCTGGTGAAATGGAGTGAAATGCTAATCTTCCAAATTATTCACCTTAAAAATTGATGGTTCAACATGGTTTCATGATGTTTCATGCCAGGAATGTCCAATTTTGTCGGACCCATCCTCATCAATGAAGTTCTTTTTGGAAAAAATAGAGGGATTGGTTTGCATGTGGATATATATATATATATACATATCATTATCCATTTACTCCCCCTGACATGATATCAATTAAATTGTGCGAGTTTCGGACCATGATCATTTTCCGGGTTAACTCCCATTTTTTTTCCGGGTGAACTCATCACCATGTTTTTCAGATCACCAGGTACCATGAAATTACGCTTACCCTCTGGTAATTTAACAGTTTGCTATTGAAAATGTCCCAGTCGAAATAGTGGATTTTCCCATTAAAAATGGTGGATCTTTCCATAGTTATGTAAACGTTTACCAGAGGGTAAATCACCCTGAAATCACCGTTGAACCACCTGACTTTTCACAGTGAAATCACCCTGAAATCACCAGTGTTTTTGTTTCGGCCTTCTCCTGGCGCTGCTTCAAGAGCTTCGTCCGGGCCGCGGCCTGACAGTGGATTCAGTGAAAGCCATAGCTGTTCCTGGGAGAAAAATGCGGTAGAAATGTAACGTAGCTATGGAAAATCACCATCCTTTATTATAGGTAAATCAACTATAACTATGGGAAATATCTATAATGTGTGTAAACCAATGCCATTTGCACCATCAGTCATCACCATTTTTATAGGTGGTATGTTTACCAAACTCCCAGTCATGGGTGGTTTACGAGTGTTTTAGCCACAGAAATGGTTGACTTTCCACATCTATGCAAACAGATGCAAACGTTTACAGGAGGGTATCTGTTGTGAATGAACAGATGGACGGATAGATAGGTAGATGTGATATGATAGGAAAAAGATAAGACAAGATAGGAATAGATCAAATAAGATAGGATGGGATAAGATAAGATCAACAATAAAGATAAAATAGGATAAATGAATATACGATTAGGTGATTGAGTGCTTGATTAATTAATTGATGGATAGTTATATACTGTACTTTTTGTGAAATTAGACCTTATCAATAGTGTTTGTGTTTGAAAAACCTCACAAACACTATACTCGTTACTATAGCTGTGAGTCAATGGGATCCACCATCCCGACGGTGAGATGGGTGAGATTCCAACAATCCAGAAATGGGTGGTTTATGACGTTGGATTATTGGATTAACCTATGGATTATTGGATCCCCTTGTTAAGATAATCTTATGAAGCAACAAATGAAGCTATAATCCAGAAATGGTTAATCATTAAGATTATAGCTTAACTAGGGCCAGAAGATGGAAGGCCTCTTCCTTAGTCTTGGCACCCCTATATAGGGCTTGCCAGGCCCGACTTTCCAGTACTGGAACGTCGCCAGGCTATGCCAGGCCCGAAATGATAGATGTTTATCTGGTTGGTGGTTGACCTACCCCTCTGAAAAATATGAAACAAAATGGGAAGGATTATCCCATATATTACGGAAAATAAAAAATGAATGAAACCACCAACCAGTTATAGTGCATATCATCTTTGCCCAACAAAGCTTGAAGCCGGTGTTTAAGCCGCATTCAGGCTTAGGAAGTTAGACTTGGGGATGCAGTTGAGGTTGTCTTTATGACCCCCATAAGTTGGGATATGGATGGATATGGATCGTCTATACCTATGGATATAAATATATCCACTTAGTTCACTGGAACTGCATTTCTATATGTAATTATATGTACAATGCACAAGACTACCGTACAATTCTATATGTAAGTTGATGCCATAGGCCATAGGCTTCACGAATTGGGTTCAAACCTGGCATCGCGGCGAATGATCATGGGGCACCAACGAGGTCACAGTGTTGAAGAGTTGTGTCTCGTCATGCTTAAAATGCCAAAGTTACATCGAAATACATCAAGTGAAACATCGAAGTACATCAAGTAAAATCAACTCTTAAGTCGCGCTAAATTTTCTAAATCAAAATGCATTGAGTGAAATCAACTTAAATCAACTTGAATCAACTTAAATCAACTTAAATCAACAAAGCATCAACAAAACATCAAGTTCAATCAAATTTCAGTACAATGCTATGGCCCCAACCATGCACCCGCGGCTGCTTGGTTGACCCCAACAGGCGCCCCACCCGGGTGCTCTCCGGCGCCGAGCCCAGCATGACCACAGCGGTGCGTTTGAAGCGGCCCGCGTCGAAGACCGTCAAACTGCTCTGCCGGAAGTCGGACAAAAAGTTCTTCCTCGGACGGGGACGGTTGGGCGGGGACGGTTGGGGACGCTGGTTGGTGATGGTCCGAGTTTGGAGTTGAGCTGGATGTTGGTGGATGTTGGTTGTGACACACCTCATAACTTGAGGGGCACCGGGAAAAGGCCCGGATCACTGAATAGATACTTAAGAAGCCCAAGAGCTGCCCTTCATAGCAATGGCTTGGAAAATTGGAAGCACTTGGGGGGGAATCTCTGGGATGTTCTGACCCTTTGCTATTGAAATTCATCTACAGTAGTTAGCAGGGATTTACCGTACTGTTTAACAGTTTAACAGTAGTTTAACAGAATTGTTTCATAGCAAACTGATCCACTACTGGAGCGTAAATCAATAAACATTTGGCAAATCAGTCGGGAAATCAGTTGCTCTGCAGATGAAATGGGCGAGATGGGAAATTTCTGGGATTAACCGGGGGAAAAAAGCACTGGTGAACCGTTAACCCACAGTCAAATCAAGGACAATTGAGTAATATCTGGCAAACTGGTATGGACATGTATGGATATGATCCCAAAATGATCCTCAACCAGCAAAATGATACCCTCTGGTAAACTAACATAGCTATTGAAAATTGCCGTGATTTTCCATAGTTATGTTAGTTTACCAGAGGGTAATTAAAAATTACATCTGCACACAGGGAGAGGTCAAAATTGAGGATATAGCCAAGTTCTTCCTGGGGGTAGAGGGACGATTGGGGAAATTGATGGAAATTGGATGAAATTGGTGCAGCAAAAATACTGCAGGTAAATTCTTGAAAGCTAAGTGAATGCGAATTTTGGGACAATGAACCAGGGGCTCTTGAAACAAAAAAAGGGCAGTTTAATCCATGAAAACAGTGATTCAGGTTCTTCCGTGATAAATTCGATGCACCTGCAGGAATGGATCCAAAAAATATCGTAATTTATCACCGGCAATGTGTTGGGACAATGACCCAAAAAAACGCGTCGTGAAATATTCGACTTGATGCTCAAACACCAAGGTTTGCCACTGGGGAAACTGGTCACAGCTGGTGCCGTGGGGCGGAAGTTCCTTAATGATAAAGTTCTGCTCCACGAATGGCGCGATAGACTGCACCACGTTCTGGGTCACATTGCCTCGACACATTCTGGGCATAGCTGCGCAGGTTTTGGGGGGAGGCAAAACCAAAAAGTGTTGGGTTAACATGTTCTCTTCAACCAAGCCATTGAAACTATGATGAAAACATAAACGAGGAAACTGTGATAGATGATGTAGACCTGCCCTTATAAACGTGCTTGTTGGTGCGCAAGATTCACCCTAATTATCCGCAAACGATCATGATTGCTTACTCAATCCAAAGGGCAAATGCTAGCGCTCTTGTCTTGATGATCAGACAGTCAGAGGCACAGTTTCTCCGCTATCAGTCCCATAGCTTGTGGCCGTGAAGGGTCAGGAAGTAATGAAAACATGTATCCTCCGGTGTCATCAAACATGATTGAATATCTCCGAACTAAATGCAGGTTTCCAGCTGGGAAAATCAAGAAATTAGATGTTTTTTTCCAGCAAGTCATGTTTGATGACCAAAGGGTACATCCTTTTAATACCTCACTATATAAACCTGACTTATCCCGTTCATATCCCATTAAATCACAATAAATTCCATTAAACAACTGCCAAAAGAAAAAACGTTAATATCCCACGAAATCACTATAAATGCCATTAAATCACTGCAAAATCCCACAAAATCACTGTAACAAATCGACTATGTCCATGTCCCGTTCATATCCCAGGTGCCCCGGTCCAATTCTTCGATGCCTCGGCCGAGGCCGCGGGCAAAACCATGGCGAAATAGGGATAGGTCATGAAAAACATCATGGAAAATCATATCATCAATAATTACATAGGAATGTGCTATGATGTTCTATGATGTTCTATGATCATCCATTCTTCCCCAACTATATTGATACTCCATTGGTTTTGCGATTGAAACTGGGGGCATTTCTTATAAGAATAATACTGGTTGGTGGTTGAAACAACCATCGAGAAAAATGATGGAGTTCGTCAATGGGAAGGATGACATCCCATATATGAAATGGAAAATAAACAATGTTTATTTTCACCACCAACTAGGGTTATATAATGTGAATATATCTATAGCTCATGGGATTATAAGCCATTTATTATCATAATACATCATCGACCATTATGATCCATGATAATTATCCATGATTAACCATCATTAACCATTAACCAGAATCATGATATGATGATAGATTGACCATCTGGGAGTACAGATTGACCAGCTGGAAAATGCTGGAAATCCTCCAACCAAAAAAAAGTCGGATCGGCGTTTTCCAGTAGGATCAGCTGGCTGCGGTTCAGAGTTCCGAGTTCCCAAACTGACAATGCCCCAGTTTGGGACATACCCGGCCTGGTAAACGTTTACATAACTATGGAAAATCACCATTTTTAATGGGTAAATCCACTATTTCTATCACCATTTTCAATAGCTATGTTAAATTACCGGAGCGTATTCTGTTCAACAAATACGGCCAAATCTGGCAAAACTGAAGATTTTGAATAAGAAATCAAAATCGAACTTGACAGAAGATTCTAAAGGGCGCCACGTCAAATGACTGGATTCACATCATCACCCCCCCCAAAGATTTTACCGTCTGGTAATTTAACATAGCTATTGAAAATAGCTATTGAAAATGGCCATAGAAATATGTGTTAATTTTCCCATCAAAAATGGTGATTGTCCATAGTTATGTAAACGTTTACCAGAGGGTAATCATTAGATATCCAATCGTTTTTGAAATAGATTTCACATCCCCAAGACGACTTCCAATGTAATATCCCATCTATATACCATTAGAATCTATTAGACATATACACTTACACACATACCCATAGGATCCATGGTGCTGGTATATATGCTAACATTTGGGGTATATTGATGGGATCCATGTTACCATATAATACCATATATAGCATACATGGATCCAATGGGATATATGATATATATCCCTTACATCTCCCAAACATCTCCCATCCAATTGGGAAACCTCTGGTCAACCTCTGAGAGCCAGGCCCAACTCATCCCCGCGACTCCAAAATCCGCTCCTTTGCTCGGAGCTCCGGGGCTCCGGAGCGAAACGGGTCGATGTCTGGGTGGTTGACCTAGCCCTCTGAAAAATGATGGAGTTCGTCAAATGTCACTGGATTGGTTTAAGGGAAAATCGGAAACCATGGTTTTTACCATCAAATATAGGGCTTTCCTGTAAATTTTCCCATCATCCAATTCTATGAAAATGGGATGATTGTTCCCAATCTATGGAAAAAAATAATCCAAATGTTCCAAACCACCAAAGTAGATGTTGTGATCCGTCAAAACATCTCTCTGTCTCTCTCTATCGCCTTCAAAAAAAGAATTCAGCCAAGAATTCAAAGGCGACATTAGAACTACATACTTTCCTGATATCTTGAATGATTCTAATCCACTTATCCTTCAATCAGAATCCATTTGCTCCAGTAAACTAACGAAAACCTATGGAAATCCACCATGTCTTGTTTCCTAAGGAAACGACTGGATCGCCATGGCTTTTTGGGATGTTTACTGCTGCAGCCTGCAAGTCTAAAGGTTTGCATGACGAAATTCACTTGGAAATCTCAGATTCTGCAAATATAAATGCACAATATGAAACATATTAAATATACAAATATATAGACAATAAATATAAATATATGATCATTTCCCATGTTATCCAATTATATATATATATCCCATACATACATTACGTATACACCCATCACAGATCTTCTCCATAAAATCCTCTCCAAACATATGCCCAATGATATCCATTCCGAATAACTATCCGAACCGAATAACCGGTGCTTCCAAGGTTCAACTTGGCCCAGTGCTTCATTGAGGCCGCACTGAGCTCTGTGAAGCGTGCCGAGGCCTGGAGGTCAAAATGAACCCAGAAAACATGGTGGTTCAATGTGGATTCATGTGGTTTAACCGGCCTGGTAAACGTTGACATAACGGAAAATCACAATGTTGAATGGGAAAATGAATTAATTATAAATGGCCATGTTTTCAATAGCTATGTAACAAATTACCAGAGGGTATCTTAGTTTGTTGACTCTGTTTTGAAGGGATTGTTTTTTTTCCCATGCCAGTGGACTGGAGATGTCACCAAGAAAAATTGGCGGTGCCCCTGAGCAAATCTTTTGATTCGCAGTGCGCGTGCCCATATCTAAAATAAAGGGCAAAAACACACCAACTCCATGGCTCAACCTCTCCCATGAAAATCACCCATTTTCGCGGAGGTATCCCGGACTATCCCGGTACCCCCCATTGACGCGGACCCAAACCCCTTGGATCCCTTGGGCTTTGCCCACTCTCCGCCTGCTTCTCCTTCTGGAACTCCTCTAAAAATGCCTCGCTGTCGCAGGGTGAGCCCGGTGAGCCCCCCAGAAACCCAGTGAACCCAGCAGTTCACCAAGCTATCTGAAGCGTCAACTTAGTTACCCTCTGGTAATTTAGCTACGGAATTTCACCATTTTGAATTGGCAAATCAACTATTTCTACGGCCATTTTCCATAGCAAAACTGTCAAATTACCAGAGGGTATATCCCATGAATATCCCATTGAATCACTCTAAAATCCCATTAAATCACCATAAATCCCATTCAAATAGCATTAAATCAGCATTCAAAGTCATTATTTCTCACCATTCCCATGAAATCCCGTGAAATCACCAAATGATCGGCGCTGCCACTGCTCACCACCAAGGTGCATGGGTGCCATTGGTCGGTAGGCCGATCAGAAAGATCACCTTCCGTCCCAAGGCCATCCGAGATGAGTTTTCCTATGGGTTAAACATGGTGAAACGTGGTTGAAAATCATAGAACCATTGTATAGAACCATTGTATCACGCCTTGACCTTCAAACTATTTTTTTGTTTTTTTTAACCCATGTAACTATATGTAAATAAAAATGCATGATACCAATAATGATGCGTTTTTTTTATAGCCATTATATGCAACTATATACCCTGGGGTAACGAGATTTCTAGATCATTTTCCGAACGGGATTTCCCATGGGTTTTCCACGATGCTCCAACGTTGCATGTCGTTGCTGATGCGGCGGTTTATGGCTGATTTTCAAGGACAAGTGGATCATAATCCATTGGTTAAGCCATATATAGCCATATCTTCCCTAAAAATATAACCCCACTTTCTCAGGAAAATTCCAAGCAGTATTCTGCTTATATAGTAGCATTGTCATTTGTATCATTATACCATTATATGCTATCCCATGTTACAATCACCACTGCTTGTACTGTACTATTAAATAATATCCCTATACTATGCTGCTTCTATCACCGCATTTTATTCCCCACAACCAATTCACCACCAAGGTCCTACGCGGACGTCGCCCGCCTCGTGTCTTCCATCTGGCTGATTGCCCTCGGGCTCAGGGAGCACTTCCACGTCTTCCTTTTTGGAGATGCGACAGATGCCCCCCATCTGACCGGATGATTTAAGGGGTTTTAATGGGATTTTAATGGGATACATCATACATCCTCTGGTAAACGTTCACGTTGAACTATGGAAAGATCCACTGTGTTTCATGGGTAAATCAACGAACTTTCGACTGTGCCATGTTCAAGTTCGCAAAGTGTTTTACCAGAGGGTAGATCCCATGAATATACCATTGAATCACCATAAGATCTCCTTAAATCACCATTAAATCCCATCAAATCATCATAAATCACATTAAATCCCATTAAATGTTGTTATTGGAAGTAAGGCACCCCCTAAATCCAATTGGCGAAGGCCGTCTTTTCATGTCTTTTCCCTAATGGTGAATCCACCAAGTTCAGACACACGTCACAAGTACCTCATTTCATCCCCATCACTTTTTGTTGGTCCATAATACCTAGTTCGTCCACATAACTTTACTTGCCTAATTCAGTTTCTCATGGTTAAACCCTCATGTCGATGATTCTAACACACACACAGATATATATATTATGTAGGTAGATATCAAATTCCATCCCCAGAACATGGTTGATACATAACTTCTCATACAATATCCCAATATATAGAACATCATAATATGCTAACATATGCTAAAATCCATCATTATCATCTGATATATCCCAATCTGGTATCCCAATAAAATATCACAAATATGCAAAAATCCATCATTTCCCATGACAGCTTGGGTGCTATTCTTCCTAAAAAGGACCCCGTCGAAGCCGTCCTGCGCCGCGTCATGCAGGGTCCGGCACTTGAAGGGCAAGGGGGCCATCGCCGGCGCTGTGAAGTTCGCGTGCAGGGTGACCTCTTAAAGCTTTTCAAGCGCGAAAAAACACTCAAAGTGCAAGTGTGACATCTATAATCATCTATACATATATTATAATATATATATATTATACACATAACCAATATTCAGGCATATGCATATATGTCCGAAAAGGGAAAGAGTCCAAGAAATGGATGGAACAATGATGACATGACCGTTTGACATTCAAAACTCTTTTACAAAACTAGCCTGCCATGGAAAAAAATGTCTTCAGAAAAACTTCCGGGATACGGTACGAAGTGTCCACCCCTCTTTCGCTCCAAACTGACCAACCAACACATATTCAAGAGATTTCAAGAGTCTAGCTATGAAAGCACACATATGAAGCACAAAGTTGGTTGGTGTGTTCCTTCATATTTCTTCATTACGATTCGATGTTTATAACCTCAAAGGACTCATCATTGACTCGCATCATCCCTACCTTGCTTACTTTGGGCACCAGTATCTTTTAAAGAAACTCCCGACGTGCATCCCATATTTTGCCCATATCCATCGTTGGAACAAGGGACGTTCTTGAAGTTGACGGTAGGATACCTCAGCAATGCAGTCAGGTTAGATTTACGTCGGGAAAATTTACGATTTAAATGCTCTATAAATCGAGGTTTCAAGGGGAAAGTCAGGTAATTATATATATATATATCAATAATGGTGGTTATTTTATAGGTAAAAACATCTCAGAAAGTGACGCGTTTTTCAATGCCACATGTTTCAGCGCCCCTGCGAAGATCTGCAAAACCTACTGTCGCCATCTAAAACACCTCGGGTTATAACTCTGTTTAAACTTACTTTACCCTAGTTTCACTGGATTGGTTTAAGGGAAAATTTACAGGAAACCATGGTTTTTACCATCAAATATAGGGCTTTCCTGTAAATTTTCCCATCATCCAATCCTATGATAGTTGTGCTGGTTGTGACACCAACCATGTTCTGATTTGTTTTTCCGGATGTGAGTTGGTGAAAAAACTTATTACCGTTTTATTTCTGCATGATATGTTTTGGCTATCCCGAATTCACCAGATATTTTACCCTCTAGGAATCAAACATGGCAATGGGCAATTCCATGCAAAATCATGCAATTCCCCATTTTTTTAAGCATCCAAAATAAGAACATCATCTATCTATATATATATATAATTATATAATTATATAATTATAGATACACTCGGATTTTTTGTCCATGACCTGGTTGAATTACTAGATATGAATTCACACCAGTTCTATTGGTGAATTTATTTTTTTAGACCTGCCGAGTGGTTCCCGCAGCGCCGAGATACAAAGGCCTTTCTCTAAGAGCCTCCGGAAGCTGCTGGGGTCGTCCCACACGCTTGCCGTTCACAAAAAGGCTGAAGGTGTGACAATTGGGACCTGACGGCAGGTGGGATTTATATATATGGCAGTGTGTCAAAACCTTGTACCCCTGGTGAACATCAAAATAGCTGGTAAATGGATGTTCATCCCACTAAAAATTGTATTAATAGGTATTGATCCATACCCATATATATATAGAAAAATGCACTCTGGTCATTTAACAGTTTGCTATGGAAAATTATCATTTATAGTTGATTTACATGTTAAAAATTGTGATTTTCCATAGCTACGTTAAATCACCAAAAGGTACACAGTAGAAAGAAGCCATCTCACAGAGATCAGCAGTCAAGCGGAAGGTGAGCATTCTGAGAAGGCCCGCTTTAATAAATGTTATAACTAATTATTATTGCATATTTAATTACATATTTACAATATGACATATATATATATTTAATTATATTTATATCTGGTTGGTGGTATACCTACCCCTCTGAAAAATATGAAAGTCAGTTGGGATGATGAAATTCCCAATACATGGAAAAACAAAAAATGTTCCAAACCACCAATTGCCATTTTCAATAGCTATGTGAGTTTACCGGAGGGTATATTATATGTATATATATACACCAGACCATGGTTTATGTAGTTGACGGTCATCCATGCCATGTCGAATCAGAGATAATGGGGATATATTATATGGCACACCTGACTGGCAGCGAGGTAGACGGGTGCAAATGGGCTGCAATGTATTACAATGTGAGGTTTGACAAAGGCCAAAAAAGACATTTTGTGGGTGGCTGATAAACTTCATAAAAATATATGCTACTTCAACTGCCATTGGTACTCAAGGGTCGTTTTACCCCACAATGTGGTATATAGATGGAACCCATGATTAATGTAGCAATGTGGCAGCCCAATAGTATAAACCATCCCAAACATGTATAAACCATCAACGAGCTGAGGTTTCTTACATTTACCGGTTTACCACATTACAAACTTCTCCCAGGGCAAATGTATTTTTTTTGTCCCTGCTTTGACCCTCAAAATTGGCACACGCTCCTGTGCAAATTGTTGAGCTCAAGCGGCCCAAATAGAAACAAGTAAGGCATGAGTTTGACCCAATTAAAGGGAACATATATGTAGTAACCCCCAAAAAAAATAAATTCAGAAGGATTTTTACTGGGGGTTGCTCTAAAATACAACCGCCAACCAGTAGTAACATGGAAAGTTGTTACCTCTTCGGAAGGCGGCAATCAAGACCAAGCGACTCTCTGGGATCAAATTCAGCAGCACAGAAAGCACCAACTGTCTTTCCTTAGCTTCAATGGATCGTTCTAATGAAAAACTGCCATGGTAACCCATGGCTTTTTTACCCATGGCTGTCTTGGGCCATTGGGGGTTCGTGGGATTGAGAGGCTTCATTGCATGTTGAAGCTGTAACATGGGAACTCATTACAAGCATATTACAAACCAGTTGCCACGCATTTCATCCGAAATGGCTCCAAAAAATGGTGCGCCCAAAACTCCATGGTTTGTCCTCACAGTAAATTTTCCTCACTTTCACATTCAGGAGAGAGAGAGAGAAAAAAAAAACCAAGAATTCTGATGGTTCAAACATCTTAAATCCCCATTTGGGTGTTAATTACCGGGGTCTCCCCACATCATCCATGTTCCCCTTTGGGAATTTAACAGTTTGCTATATTGAAGCCATGGCCCAGTCGAAATTTAGTTGATTTACCCATTAATAAATAGCATGGTGATGTTCCAGTTCGTTATGTAAACGTTTACCAGAGGATATATCCCATTAATATCCCATTAGATCACCACAATCCTACTAAAATCCAATCCATATCACTAATCCAAAGGCTAATCCATATCACAATCCAGAGGCTAGCGACCGGGTCGCGACGGATGTTCCCTGTTTTTTTGTACCATCCAGCTACCCTCTGGTAAACTAACATAACTATGGAAAATCACCGTTTTCAATGGGAAAATCCACTATAAATGGCCATTTTCAATAGCAAACTGTTAGTTTACCATCCAGCTACCTGCCATTTTTCTGGAAACCCAACCCGAGGTTCCACAGGTATGCGGTCGTTGAAGCCCTCCATCCAGTTCTTCTGACCGTTCAGGATCAAGCAGCCTGGCCATGGCCCGTTGAGTTTCAAGATTTATCGTGATTTACCTCTGTAAAATTGTGATTTATCGTGATTTACCTCTTTAAAATTGTGATTTATCGTGATTTACCTCTTTAAAATTGTGATTTATCGTGATTTACCTCTTTAAAATTGTGATTTATCGTGATTTACCTCTTTAAAATTGTGATTTATCGTGATTTACCTCTTAAACATGATGATTTATCATGATTTACCTCTTAAACATGGTGATTTATGATGATTTACCTCTTAAACATGGTGATTTATGATGATTTGCCTTCTAAGAAATGGTGATTTATGATGATTTACATCTTTGAAATGGTGATTTCCATACCTAAGTGTGAGTTTGCCAAAGGGTCAGTTGGTAAACATAACTCTAATTTCACTCCGATTTATGGCAATGAAAAGCCAACAACCAGCATCCACCAGCTATAAGTTGGATAGCTGACACTCCGTTAAGCATAGATAGATTATCATCACTAAATGAGTTCTAAACCAACTTCATGATGGTATCCTAGATAGATTATCATAGATATATCATGGATACATGATCATAGAATATCATAGATAGATAGATTACCGTCATCACTTTAAGCATAGATTATCATACAGTATACATTCATGCCAATCACATCCATCTATCTTTTTGGGGGGGTCATCTGTTTGGGGAAAACGTCATCGAAGTACACCACCCTGGAGTGAATTCTCTCGGCCAACAACGGATGGTGTTCACTCTCGACCAATCTTTGACGCCGCTTACAGATGATGTTCCCATTAAAACCAACATTGATCTGGGTAAATCATAATATTTCACTAACCTGAATCTTAAGGCCATAAAAGGGGATGATTCCGCCTATTAACCATGATTTCCAGTCTTCGGGAGAACAGTCTTCGGTCGTGATGAAATTGACCCAGATTTTTCTGATTTTCCCAGTAGCACCATTTACAGATGATTTTCCCAGCAGCAACCTTCGTTTTTTTCGATGATTTCATCATGAAAAAGACCGCGTCCTTCGCTTCGGAGTCCCCGGCACCTTCGGTGTCAAAGCCCACGCCGTCCTCGCCGTCGCCCAGGAACAAGCTGCTATCGCTGGTGGAGAATCCTATAGCGACCTGTGGAGAGCCATTGAAGAAATGGATGGCTAAAGGGGAAATTCACCAAGAACATTGGTTGTGCCATGATTCATGATGAAAAAACTGATTTGATTTAAGCAAGAAAAATTGGATTCAACATGATGTAACATATTTTTAAGGGGGAGGTCGCCAAGAAAGGTTGGAATTGACAAACAAAAATAATTTAACCAACAAAAATATATAAAGGAGTTCGCCAAGAAACAAACATGTTTCAACGTGATTTGACCAACAATAGAATCGGGATTTAACATGATCTAACATGGTTTAACCAACAAAGATAAGGGATTTTTACCAACAAATATTAGAGAATACACACTGATGATTTATAGTGATTTAACCAACAAAATCATGGGATTGAATACAATGTTCTACGGATTTTTCATTTGCTTCGATATAACGGGATAAAAAGTCAGCAGCATGATGGTTGGTTATGTCTGAAAATTGGGAAATAACCTCAAAAATTACAATTGTCATTTAATAATATTTGATAATATTTGATATTCATATGGAACATGGTGACCCATGGTTTTAGCGGTATCTTATTTTCTGAGACCAACTAAAGTTTCAAAACTCCAAACAGCAAAGACAGGGGCAGAACTGGGTCGACATATCTCCTGGATTCACCATGATAATCACCATGAGATTTTCATGGCGCTGTGCAGGCTGAAGTCCATGTAAAAACGAAGCCATAACATGCCATAACCTCTTCAAAATATGGGATTGAAATGACATGATATTCTTGTTCCATATAGCCATATAGCTATGCTGGGTGTTTCATATTCTATAGATTTCAGGATTAGCGTTACTGACCGTTACTGCTGTACTTTTTTCGCAATATATCAGCTTTATGATCCTCTAGGACTCCATGTGCTCATCGATTTCCTCAGGTTTTGGTCATCGATTTCTAGCCCCAACCCATGGATTTTGGCCGTCCGAGTTGCCAGTTGCTTCGGGATGTTCTTGTGCCTTCGGCCGTATTCCGCTGCTCTCCTTGCACAATCCAAATCATCCAAGAGGGGAAAGACGGGGAAAGGTTCACAAAAGAACATGTCAATGGATTGGTTTAAGCGAACTTTTACAGGAAACCATGGTTTTTACCATTAAATATGGGGTTTTCCTGTAATTTGTTCCGTAAACCAATCCATTGAACATGGCAATCTGGGCAATCTCTTAACCCTCCCCATGATCATTCATGATCCCCATGGCCAATCTGGAAACATGTTGAAACCTATCATCCCAATTCTTATCAGTGATCTTCCATACTAATTCATAATAATTCCACATGATTCTGACCATTTTCGTTGATTAAATCACATTTAAAATTCAGTAAATCATATAAAGCTCCTTTCAAATTAAACTATATTCAAACTTTATATGAAATCATCTTAAATCCCTGTTTCCACACACACACACATATATATATATATATCATATATTTCCGACCTGAAAATTTTCCATCCAAATCGCATCCCATCCCACATCGTCCTGACTTCCAGGACCTTCACTTCGAAGAGATACCTTCCTCCCTTCAACCTGGACGTCGCGACTACATCGCAAAGTGACCGGTGGCCGTGCGTTTGCAAAACAAAAAAGGCAACAACAGAATTGCTGATGTTGAAATATTTTTGTCATCTCTAATATCTATACAAATATATACCTATATATATATCAACATGTATTGGAATGTGACGACGTTCAATGCGTTATACAAATATAGTTATATTGGGATGTGACGACGTTGCCAATGCGTTTCAGGATTTTAGGGTCAAGAAGTGATCCTTTTTTGAAGCTATTATGCCTCCAAAAGTGAGGGATTTGCCACCAAAAAGATTTGAAGACCAGAAAAATATCTGAGTATTGCATGATATATATTTACCTTTTATAGCCTAGTCATAGTTTTACGGCTATTCCTAGATCACATCAACCAAAAGAAATTGTGTTAATTACTGGATCATCGGCGCCAAGTGACCCAGCAGTGGCTCGAACGCCTGCAAAAAGATGACCTAACCCCTCATCATTGAGAGGAATCAGCAATCCTTAGCCATGGGATGCCATGGGAATGCTGGCGAGTCGGACTGCGAGGGTTCCTTAGGCCTAATTGTCTAATTTTTTGATAAAGCCTAGATCCACCCATTTTTAATAGGTAAACCATCGAACTAAATGGGCCATGTTCCACACCTATGTTAAATAACCAGAGGGTAGTTTTCATGAAGGTTGCCTGAGGTATGTAGCGAGGTGACTTGGCAATGGCAATACGATGGTGAGTTGAATCGAAAAGAATCTCCAATGGGATATGGGGGCCCATTGGCTATGGCAATTTAGCCACTTGGGTATGGGTCAATACCTACAGATACATTTTTAGTGGGATGAACATCCATTTACCAGCTATTTTGGGGTTCACTAGGTACCAGGGTTTTGACCCATCCCCACTTATAACTGAAACTGCACTTCCAAGTAGGCACTTGGACTTTCTTGGGGATGCCATGCATCCCAGTTCATGATGGTGGGGCCCCCAAACGCGATGTTTCTTGATTTACCCTGGTTCATTTTGTGGTTCCATTAATATCTACCATAAAGCTAGCCTCTGGTAAACATACAAAAAATTATGGTTAAAATCACCATGTTTCATGGGTAAATCCACTATAAATCACCATTTTCAATAGCTTTTTCTGTGTTTACCAGAAAGCTAGCGATTGGATTGATGCCAACTTCGCAAATAAAGGGGCCCTTCCAACTGCCAAGGATCTGCTGTCAGTACTGGGCAAAACCTGAGTTGGATGGGCAAACGGGCTGTCAGTTTTAGTGATGGAAAACGGCGAAAACTCAATCCAGCGCCATCGAGTAAAAGATGTAAGTTTTTTCTTTTAGAAAGTTAAAAAACATATGTTTTTTCCCGCATATGTAAAAAATTGCCAGAGAGTATGGCTAGGCTATACTCGTACGGGTTACTTTTCCATACTTTTCCCACCTTATGGGGCTGACATCACCATGGTGATGGCTGAAGCAAGCCCAGCGGCCGGACACCCAGTCATAGATGGGATAATCATAATCCAGTTAGGGGACTTTCTAACCAGGGTTCCTAACCAGTCTTAAAATAGTCTTGAAATGATCCTCCAAGTATAGATTTAGATTCAGAAAAAGGTATGTGATGGTATGTGTGTTTTTTCCCTTTAATTAAGGCATGTAGTTTTTCAATCGGTTTCCATCTGAGTTTCTCAGATTCTCCATTTCTAACTGGAAACCATTCACCCTATCATTAAGATATCTTAGATATCATTTAGCTATATAATGGGTACAATGTTTGAGTGTGTATGGTGGGGTGCGCTCAATAATTTCCAATCTACTTCTCCGTTATATACAGTATAATTTGTCTCATTGATTAATCAAACTTTGCTTCACCGGTCACCATCATCACATCATGACTTCCTCAGATTACAAATAACTTCGCCAATCCTGTTTGGTCAACCCTTTTCACAACTGCGACCCTTGAGGCCCTTGACCGTGACACATCCATCTGCCAATATCCCCTTCACGACCATCATCCATCCTTAAAGCCTAGGATTTAAATCTACAATTCCCATTCAGAGCACTTCTTCCCCTTTTTGCGGCATGTTTTCCTTGGACTCCCTCGTTCCGACGTCCTTTTCTTATGTCCCCCGGATCCCTAAACCCAAATCGGCTTCCGCGGCACGTTGAGGCTCGAATAGGTGCGGCTCGCTTGAAAAGTTCCAGCTTCCACCTTCTCTCGCTCATCCTCCGCTGCATCCTCCTCACACTCCACGTAAGGCTTGTCCTCCTCGCGCTCCTTGAAGGCCTGAAGAACCGCAGCTGAAGAACCGGCTCGTCTATAAGAAATCGTTTTTCTTGTTTAAACAAGAAAAGTGGGATGGAGAAAAAACCTGCCATGGAGAAAATTGTTCTCATCAACCACGAATTGCACACATAGATACAAATAGATGGTTCTCAGGAAATTCTATCGATGGATAAAAGCAGTTATAGGAAGTCACAAGTAGATAGCACATAGATTCCCGCCAAAAAAATGGCACATGTTCTTGTAAAATCGTGGTCCCCCCATAGGTGTGCCATCTAAATCAGAATATATCATATATCAGAATGTTTTTGGCAAATCAACATTTGCCCTCTGTAAAAATCAAATATGCAAGCTGGAAAACCAACTATAAATGGAGATGGTCATGGGAAGATTGTCTATAAATGGTGGATTGACCAGCAAGCCATGTTTGATTGCCAGAGGGCAACTCATATTTTCACATCTTTTCGCCATATCTTCACCGAAGTATCGCCGGAATGGATAAAACACGCTTTAAAACACGCTAACATGATGTAAAATGAACATGAACACATGAAAATAGATAAAGCCAAGCTGGTTTGCACTTTCCAGAATTTAACTTGTTCTTCCTTCACAACTTCAGACCTCTCTTGACTCCGGCCTCATCTTCCATGGGTGTTGGCTCATCCTCGGGCTTTTCATCAAAGCGTGACCGTCTACGACGCCGAGGACCTTGCTTCGGGTGAGAGCTGAAGGGAACTCTAAAACAGCATATGATGGGGGATCACCGGCGGCAGAGAAATATAGGCACGTGGAACCCTAACAAATGGATCTGGGAGAGTATGTTTCCATCGAATATGATCTTGCTAATGGGTTCCATGATGAATTATTCGAGGCGCAAGTCAAAAAATATCCCCAGCTTATCTCCATGATTAATCCAAGCAAGTTATGACATGTTGCTAAATCCAGGCCAGTTAACTCCCCAGATCATATTATTGACAGATATATATATATATATCCCATTAACCATAGCCCCAGATCATGGTACCCAATGATAATCCCATAATAACCCAGTATATCATTATAAACCGGTACTATACTCTGATTTTTCCTTGTTTTTTTTATGATATATATATATATATAAATATATCTCTCCCTCTCTCACTGGGAATTTCAGGATCCTAAAATGGAGGTAACATGAGCCTAAAAAATAGGCCTTATATTAATGGTAGGTACCTCCAATTCTCCAATTTAGGTTCCTGAAATGGCCATTCATTACATATAACACAAATCCCTTGATATCTCCATTCTTGCTGACACCCGGTTTTTTTACACCCGATGCGTTGCTTCAAAATGCCATGGACACCTTTTCAGCGCGCCAGGTGGGTGATTTTTCCCTACCCATCCAGTTGGTTGGGGAGCAATGACGCCAATTGGGAATTTTAACATACAATTCATGATGTGCCATGGAATATTCTACCATGTGCCATGTACGGGATAATACTATTCGTTAGATATAAATATATATATATACATAATATACAGAGAGAGAGGGAGAGAGAGAGAGAGAGAGAAATATTCATCAGGTCATAGGATGATGTTTATTCCAAATGGATGATCCACTTATCGCTATTCTGAATGGTTCATATGGTTTTTGACACTCTCATAATATCACAGTTTCAGTTTCACAGCATATGCTTATGAAATCTTAATGTGGGTAAAACAATCATATTCAAAAATAAACCATCCCATAGTCATCACCATTTTGATAGGTGGTATGCTTACCATTCCCAGTCATGGGTGGTAAAAATGGCTTTGTTTTACCCACATGAATTCACCACTGATCCAAGGTTAACCCAGCAACAAGCCACCGAGGCACCTGGGCTCTCCAGCTCCTCATTTTGCGTACCCCGGCTGCCCCGGCTGGGGCTGACGCTAGCGCCAGGCTGGCCGCCCTGGTCGCCGTCGCCCTGGTCGCCCTGGTCACCCTGGTCACCCTGGTCGCCCTGGTCACCCTGGTCGCCCTGGTCGCCCTGGTCGCCCTGGTCGCCCTGGTCGCCCTGGTTGCCTCAAGGCCCCAGTTCTGTTGGTTCTGATGGAGATTTGTGATGATTCATGATGCAGTCGTCAATCTTGCCCAGGTACCCACTGCATGAGACAATGAAATATGGCACTGGAAACTCTGTTGCATACGCATACGCCTTGATGATTTTCCGAAACAAAATTTCACAGTTTGCCACATGGAAAATATGGAAACCAAATCACATAAATCACCATGTCAAATAGCAAAATTTATCAAAATTTGCTAAATAAAGTAGGTAGTTCGTTGAACTGGGCTGTTTCCATGATCTTCCCCCGAGATTGTCTCCAAGCAACCCTCGTCCCGGTCGTCGCCGCCGTCATCGTCGTGGTCGTCGTGGCCCACTTCAGGCTGCTCGCAGTAGGGATCCTTGTCGACGTGGTCCGCGTCCTCAGCGTAGCAACATGGCGAGCCGGGGAGGTATCAAGTTGAGGGATTTACCATAGTCAATGGCCATTCCAGGAACCGATTTATTGGAGGTACCTACCATTAATATAAGGCCTATTTTTTAGGCTTATGTACGGGAATATTCCCCCAAAATATGGCCAGAAATATGGTACTAACGTACCACCATTTTAGGATCCTGAAGATCTCCCATTGACATCGGATTGAAAGGAAACATCTGGTGATTTTTAACTGATAAAAACTGATATCAGCAGTAATGTTCGGAACATATCCAGTAATCGTGAACTGGTTGGTGGTTTTAACCATCTTGAAAAATATGAAAGTCAGTTGGGATTAATTATTTTTCCCAATCTATGGAAAAATAAAAGCCATGTCCCAAACCACCAACCAGAACGTAAAATCATAAAATCATATATAATCCCCATAGATTCATCAAAATGTGAATGTCCCTTATTCATAGGCCTTATATTAATGGTAGGTACCTCCAATTTAGGCTCCTGAAATGGCCATTGGAATGGCGATTTGGTCAATGCCAGCCTCGTCCATGGGCTGGCTGCCGTCCTTCTCCTGGCCACAAAACACCGGTATCCAACCATGCCCTTCGGCAATGAAACAAATACCCTCTGGTTATGACTAACATAGCCATGGAAAATGGTCCATTTATAGATGGTTGACCGTTCTTAAAAATGGTGATTTTCCATGGCTATGTTAAATAACCAGAGGGTAACTATAATAACTATATCATTGGGGAGTTTGGTAATGTTTGGCAGATATGTCTATAGTTCATTGTTACAGTTGTTTTTTTGTTAAGCGACTTAGTACTTATACCCTTCCGCAATCAAAGGTGGCAACTGGAAATACTACATGGAGGTTTGAGGGGCAAAATCATGGAAATTGATGACACCGGGGGATAACTGAGAGGTGCTTCCAACGCCATTTAAAAATTTAGAGTAATATATGGATCATGATCTCAAATTAGGACAGTAGATGGGGATGACACCCCAGTTTCGCATGGAACTTTTCGGGCTTTCTTTACAACAACAAATGCCAAAAAAAAATAACGATGCAGTTTAGCTTGGAAAGATTTTTCATTGAATTGGTTTAAGGGACAATTCAAATCGGAAACCCCTGTCATGAAACCCATATGCTCCATGTATGGAATATTTACCAACATTTGCCCAAATGTAAGTAGGGTAAATTATTACTATACATGGAGCAAATGGGAAAGGTAAACACCCATAGTGTCTAGTGAAAAATTCCTCTTTCACCCCAGAAGAGGAGCCCAATTAGCCCCAGAGGATCTACTCCGAACACCGTGTCAAAATGTTGTAGAATTGGATGAAACATGTATTCAATATATATTATATGACCCCGTATATCTATCTATCTATCTATCTACCTACCTGTCTATGTATCTATGTACCTATCTATCTGTCTATCTATCTATCTATCTATCTAACCTCATCTAATCTAATTTAATTTAATCTAATCAATCAATCAATCAATCAAATCAATCAATCAATCAATCAATCAATCAATCTATCTATCTATCTATCTATCTCTATATTTATATCTATATCTATCTATCTATCTATCTATCTATCTATCGATCGATCTATCTATCTATCTATCTATCTATCTATCAAACTATCTCTATATCTATATCTATATCTATCTATATCATCTATATCTATCTATATCTATCTATATCTATCTATATCTATCTATATCTATCTCTATCTATCTATATCTATCTATATCTATCTATATCTATCTATATCTATCTCTATCTATCTATATCTATCTACATCTGTCTACATCTGTCTATATCTATCTCTATCTATCTATCTCTATCTATCTATCTATCTATCTATCTATCTATCTATCTATCTATCTATCGTTTAAAAACAACTCAATATATAGATTGTAAAGCTATGGCATGTATATTGCATCTCTGGCATTTCTGCAGTTGGAACTACAATCCATATTTATAAATGGTTTTGTTTCAAAATGGGATATGCCCTTTGGTTATTTAACAGTTCGCCATGGAAAATCACCAAATTTTAATAGGTACCTCATCTATTTCTATGGGTCATGGCTTCCATAGCAAACTATTAAATAGCCAGAGGGCATCATGCATGATATGAATGGGTATGGAATCCTCATATTGACCATTAGAATCCCCCAATCAATGGGGGGCTAACAACCTGGAAATTGTGGAGGAAACCATTTCCACATCCCCTTTAGCATCCTGGAAACATCACCAATTACCATATGTCCCGCTATTGCTAGGCCTGGCCGGCCTCTTGGGAGGGCATTGCCTCGTCGGCCTCTTGCTCGACCTGAGGTTTTGAACGGTCGATTTTTCGGCAATCCAGAGGCAACTTTGGAGGATTTTGGGGTGGAAGATGTGGAATATACTTAATGTGTTGAATATGTATTTGAGCCGAATCTGGTTTTGATATGAGTTCAATCTGATTGGAATATGAGTTGAAGATGATTTAAATAGTCTTTAAATATGATTCAAAGATACATTTGGCAGGTCGAAAAACCTGCATAAGCATAAACCCCTGACTATGTAGTTTGGCCATTAGATGCAGTCCAAGGGGCAAAAACACATGATCCGGAAATGATCATATAATATCATGTACCTTCATTTATGGTTCAGACATGTTCAGAATTTCAGCTGGTTGGTGGTATACCTACCCCTCTGAAAAATATGAGTTCGTCAGTTGGGATTGTCATTCCCAATATATGGAAAGTCATAATCCAGTCATGTCCCAAACCACCAACCAGAACGTAAAATCATATAATCATATATAATCCCCATAGATTGTTTCATCAAAATGTGAATGTCTCGTTTAGCAAATCCAGCCAAATCCACTATAAATTGCCATTTTCAATAGCTGTGTTAGTTTACCAGAGGGTTTATTATGTGCATATGTAATCCCCATTTTGTTTCATCAAAATGTGAATGTCTCGTTGAGCAAATCCAGCCAAATCCACAATTGCCATTTTCAATAGCTATGTTAGTTTACCTGAGGGTATATCAATCCCATTAAATCACTATAAAATCCCATTAAATCATCACTATAAAATCCCATTAAATCACCATAAAATCCCATTAAATCCCATTAGATCACCATAAATCCTATATAGGCCTTATATTAATGGTAGGTACCACCCAGAAAATCGGGGCCGACTTCGCCTCGTCCGCCTGGCCATTGGCGCCATTGGGCGCCTCGGCCTCGGCCTGAGGCACGGCCTCTGGGGCGTCCTGGGAGCAAGGATTTCATGGATATTTTAGTAGGAGGTTCATGGGATTTATATCTTTGGGGATTTATCTGAAGTTTTTTGGGATTTATCTGAAGTTTTTTGGGATTTATCTGAAGTTTTTGGTGATTTATCTGAAGTTTATGGGGATTTATCTGAAGTTTTTTGGGATTTATCTGAAGTTTTTTGGGGTTGGACATCTTCTGGGATTTGTCTGAAGTTTATGATTGGGATCTAAAAAGAGTTCATGGATTTTACAGAAGATAAATTACTGTAATTGGACAACATGCTGTTTTTTTGATAGATATGTCATACATACATACACACACAGATTTATATATATAATATAATATATCAGCATATCTTATATGTATATATATATATGTATACGCATGTATATATATATATATGCATATATTCTGTAGTTGATGGAGTTTTTGTAACAACTTTGCTAAGAATGATGTGGAAAAATCATAAGACTTCACCAACCTCAAAAGTTCGTGCTTTATGGAGGCCCTGATTTTCGAATGAGACCTCAAAACGGCTGGTTTTTGGCTAGTGTAGACCTGCATGTTCAACCCGCCTAAATATCTTAGCTGTGGTATTAGGGGTTTTGACCGATTCTCATCTGAATATAATCACCAACAAGATGGGAGCCATATCGTTTTATGATATCTCTATATATAAATATATCTATATGTGTGTGTTCGTGATTTTTAACATATCATGATAGATAGATAGATAGATAGATAGATAGATAGGTAAGTAGGTAGGTAGGTGGGTGGATAGATTGATAGATAGATAGATAGATAATGATAGATAATGATAGATAATGATAGATAATGATAGATAATGATAGATAATGATAGATAATGATAGATAATGATAGATAATGATAGATAATGATAGATAATGATAGATAATGATAGATAATGATAGATAATGATAGAGAATGATAGATAATGATAGATAATGATAGATAATGATAGATAGATAATGATATAATGATAGATAAGATAATGATAGATAGATAGATAGATAGATAGATAGATAGATAGATAGATAGATAGATAGATAGATAGATAGATAGATAGATAGATAGATAGATAGATAGATAGATAGATAGATAGATAGATAGATAGATAGATGGATAGGATAGATAGATAGATAGATAGGTAAGTAGGTAGGTAGGTGGGTGGATAGATTGATAGATGTTGTGCATGAAATATGTGTTGTTTTTCTGATACAATTTGGTTTAACCAACAGTCATGATTTGGGTGCGTCCGTGTGTCAATTCATAATTACTAATAATTACCCATTTAGTTCGGGGATTTCCAAAAGGTGAGGGAGTCCTCAGTTCTATGTGTAACCCCCATGAATACTCATTCACCCCAACAAAAACATGGGTTTGTCTGAAAATAGTGTACCCCTACACCCAATGGTTTTGCTGATCATTATCCCTACTAAATGGCTATAATTGGGGGTATACCCCATTTTCAGACATAGCCATATGAATTCAGCAAGTTCTTTGCAAAGCTCAGCACAAAAAGCGTATCACAAAAAGCGTATCTCGGAGTCCTCTTTTTCCATGGCTTCCTCCATGGCTTCATCCTGCCATCCCACAACGCGATGGTCTTTTTTTTCTTCCCGGAGAATCATGTCATGGACTTTTCGTCAGATTTGATACGCAAAAATGCAGAATTTCGGCGACCTCCCAGGGTCCAAAGCTCATATCTGAGGCCCAAAAAGCACCAAAAAGCTGATGGTTTCCCACATGTTGGCCATCAAATATACGACAGATTTCCCAGATTTTCACAAACCATATCTACGGTAGTTCAGATTAATACTGAACAAGCATATAACTGACCATAATAATCCAATCGTCCTATAGCCAACAATCAACAGACTCGGTATGTCATGACCATGTGCGGAGATGTGCGTGGCCAGGTGGCCATCAATCAAAACCAAACATCATATCATTGGATTAGGGATGATTGTTGGCTGGTTGGTGATTTCAACCCCTTTGAAAAATATGAGTTCGTCAGTTGGGATGATTATTCCCAAGATATGGAAAAATAAAAATGTTCCAAACCACCAACCAGTTGGAGACAATGTTTGCCAGAAAACCATCGAAAACCCATTGGTTTTTGGTGGTAAAATGTGGTAAATACCATGGTTTCTCCATGCTTTCCCACCCTGAGATTTTCGTCCTCAGCTTCTGCGGGCGGACCTTGGGTGAAACCCATGAGTTCACGAGGAAAAACACTTGGGATATCATGGATTAGCATGGGGATGCCACGGGATATATAGGCAACTTGATAGGATGTTTGGGTTTTTAAAAGGTTGTTGTTTATAGATTTTATAGGCAAAGTGTGGCTTATGCTAGGTATCTATGTAGTTCCCATATGATTGGAAAAAATATGCGTTTTTGTTTTAATCAGTGGATCTAGGAGTACCCATTTCAGAGAAAAAACAAACATATTCAATGAAGTACACACACCATCTGGCTTCTCCGAGTAGTTGCATTCTGCCAATGAAGTATATGATATGGATTGGGTCATGAACAGTCCACAATGGTCTCCCCTTACAAAAAAACTACGAAATTTACGCCAAAAAATTGGAATTAGACTGGTTTGCACTCTCTGGAAATGAAACAAGGCAATGGGAAACTAATTCTAGTAGCGAATACCATCCGTTCATGGATAAATGGAGAATTTCTGCTGCCGGATTGTATTGGCAATGAGAAACTATGTGTGCAAATCCGCTCATGCTGGCTTAGGGTAAGCCAGTCGCCGGCCACAAGACTGGTAAAAGGCCAGTACCGAAAATAGATGAAAATCGATGATCATCAATGAACATAGTAAAATAACACATGAAGGTCCCTGACTAGACTAGCTGCAGTACACCCCGTGATTCGATACATCGCAGCTAGAAGGCGTGAAACCCAACCATATCCCATGTCTGATGCTTAAAATTAAAAGAGTTATTAGAAGCCTCATTCTTGCTGGGGTATGTCCCTTGAAGCATCCAGCGCTAATGGTTCAACCCCTGGCCTTCGTTGAGATCTTCCTCCCCCTCGGCCGCGTCGGCCGCGTCAGCCGCATCGGCCGCGTCGCCCGCGTCGCCTGCGTCGCCCGCGTCCTCCGCGTCGCCCGCGTCGCCGCATCGCCCGCGTCGTCTGCGTCGCCCGCGTCGCCCGCGTCGCCCGCGTCGTCCGCATCTGCAGCATCCTGCATGACAGGGGAGTGAAGCAGCGGGGGGTATGGGGGGGGGTGATCCCGGAATGTCGTTTACACCTGGGCAATGCCTTATGGCTCGTCTGCTAACGGGTGACCAAAACAGCATTTGATAATGATGGCGGGTCACGTTTAACCCTACCAACCAAGCCGAGGAGGGGCATATGCGACCCCAAGTTGGGGGTGTTGCCGAAATCATGCTAAATCCACTTTTCAGTGCGTTAAATCATGTTAAATCCATTGAATCATGCTAAATCCCTAAATCCATTTCTCTGGGTAAAATAAAATGAAATTCACTATAATTCACCAAGCTGAAAATACCTGAAAGAATGGGGATGCCCGTTACTAACTATCATTCCAGATTTTTGGTTGGTTCAATCCGATTACGTCTGATTCTTGCTGAAAAACATGCCGCATCCCAGTCCTTCTCTTCAGGAGCCTCATCTCCTTCATCCATGGCTGCGTCCTCCTCACCTTCAGGGAAAGTTGGCGATCATCGGGGAAGCTACGACCCACGATAGAAAAAACGATGGAAATCCAGTGCTTTCCCCAGGAAACTATGGAAATATGGTGGATTTTCCATAGCGTTGAGTTTAAGAGGGTAGATGTCCTAAGGGAACTGTCTTAGTCCCTAAGTTAACTTTGGGACCTCTCAGGAACCGAAACAAATGGGATTACAATTGAGGTATGTCCAACAAACCGTGGATCAGGCACCGAAATTGGAGCTACCTACAAGATATGTGAGGTATATGTTTAAGGCCCCAGGGTGACGGAATATCCTCATCAAATATGGCATGAATTTTCTGGTACAGTGGCTCCATTTTAGGGAACCTTAATTGGCCATCAGCACAAGAGATGACATCCTGAAAGGCCTGTGGTTTATCATGGCAATCCATCTTGACATTGCGACTTTAAGCAGTATACCGTACCCCATTTTGGGACATGGTGAATGTCGCGCATCTTATATACATTTTTTGCAGCTAACATGGCACAATACTAAGTATCAAACTCCGCATACAAGGTTTACCCAGAGAAAATGATACACTTCAGCAGTTGGAGACATACAGTGTTTCTCTTAACTAAACTAATTAAAACATTATTGTGGTCAATGACATGATCACTTCCCACTGTAATTATACACGGTACTGCAGGTCAAACATATTGCTATTCCCAAAAAATCAGGGGGATGCACTCCAAGCCCCAAGCTGTCTATATATTGGAGATCATATCTATGTATCAACAATTTCGGCCATTCGGACATATCAACAATCACCCCAAACGACGCCCCAAAGTACATCCGACTGCCCCTAACTTTCTTCAAAAACATTGACAGAAGGGGAATAAACTTGGAACACAGCCTAGTGCTCTGACTTCAAGCGCAAACCCAAATACAGTCTCAGATGTTTGTAGCTGTATCTGACTGAATCACAATAAGCTTGAAAATACCTGAAATCATGATGAATACCACCATTTATAGATGTTTTTCCCATTCAAACCCTCCATTGATCGGGGATTTCCCACGTTTTTCCGGATGAAGAAGGCTCATTTAAAGGGATGATTCCCCTCCAATTCTCATCCTTCCGTAAAGCGAGGAGAGGTCCATAGTTGTATACCATCCAGAAATCAATTTTTGGATGATTTCTACTATTTTCTACTGATGTTTGTTCTTTTCTGTGATGTTGGATTGTCTTTTTAATCACTAAAAGAAAAGAAGAAAAATCACTAGAAATCATCCAAAAATCCTCAGACGTCACTAAAAATCATCGAAGA